TACCCACTGAGCCATCTCTCCAGTTTTGTGAAATTTGCAATTCAATTTAATCATGTTTCTCTAAGGCCTTCCCTTTAAATTCTAGTGTTACACCAAAACCACTGAAGATTCGTTTGGCTCAAGCTCCCATTAGGACCACTCAACTAACAATATGACTGACAGATTCAAAATGACCGCACTATGTGGAAGTGACTGTAGGGAGGGCAGGCTGCAGGCATTGGTGCAGTGGAAACAGGGATGCCTTAGAGCTTTCTCTGGATTATCACGGGTATTTAAATAAGACATTTTCTCTGGATAATGTGGCTAACAATCTGCCATATTTTCTGTTGCTTCTGTGTGGTTTGCTTTGTACTTCTAAGATAAACAGTCCTTAGCTGTTTGGCATTGAGATGGACCCAGTACCCTCAGAGCCTCTGTGGCTCAAGCCTAGCTTGACCTGTGGCTATTCCAGAGGCAACCTTACTTCATATTATGAAGGTCCATAAAACATCAAATATTGGTGTATAGTCAACTATTTTCTTGACTTCTCAGACTTGGTTAGTTATATTCACTGAAGCTTGTTCATCTGGGTGCACAGAGTGGCTGCTTTCAGTCCACGTTTACTCTTGAACTGAGACTGCCCTCTTGTTCTCAACACAGCTCTGCTAAGAGGCCTCTAGTCTTGATACAGAGGCTCTACAGATTCAAACAAAGACCTCCATGCGAGCTCTCGGTTACTCCTAGAGGCTCCCAAAACAATAGTGATAATGCTAACAAAAAGATAGCAGTCACCATCCAGAAATTGAAATTACTAGAGGGGCCAACATCCAGAAAACCTGTGTGTCAACCTCAGGGCCTCCACTTAGGACCCCTGGCTCATCCTCTTACTTAACCTTGAGTAAGTCCGGGTGTGGTACCAAGTATCTGCAGGCCTGGGTAACACTGGAAGAAAAACAAATCTCAAAATAATAAATGAATAAATATAAAAATCATTAGAACTGGCATGTAGAACTTAAACACTTAAATACAGCTGGAGGTTGCAGCAAGTCACCCACTTCATGGTCTTGCTCAGTAAGTGTTGCCTGAGGTTATTAAGAGGTGTTAAAGGGACATCATAGGAAAACACTGTTGCAACACACATGGGTTGGTCCCTGTCCCCTGATGTTGCTGACTCCTCTCTTTTCTTTGTACAGTGCCCGCTCAATCTGGTGTAGTTAATGGCAGCCACCTTGCCTATAAAACCCAAATGCCCTGTTATCAGCTCTGCCATACCAATTTCATGAGGATGTAGCTTCTCGGACCAGAATACTAACTGTGTAAAAACTGTGATGAATTATAGTCCGGTTCTGATTGTAATGATCTGAGCCAAAAGAAACCACAGATGATGCAGGGTGACTCGGGCCTTACAATTTTGTGCATAACGTGATCTGGATGTGTAAACCAGGAATATCTTTGAATTTAACATGTTTTTTTCCTCTTTTCACAAAACAAAATTCTTTTAATTAAAAACATTTTTTAAAAGTTCAGTATGTTTAATTGTTAGCACCTGCTATGTGTTACCAACAGATGTTTCTCACTTACCTAGGGGAACTGTTGTAATTATTCTGTAAGCATACTGGAATGGCATTTACCAAGATGGCTGAGAAAGTTTCCTTTGCAACTTTGTAGCATATTTGGTTGGTTATTCTTTTTAAAAATCCCTCCCCCTATTTCTTTCTGTTCCCAAGAATCCACCCTGACCCAGCTCACCAAAAGCACAAATGCCCTTTGTGACTAAGAAAACATTTCTAAACCTGGCATTGGCGATGTATATATTAGTCTCATGGGGTTATTATTGAAATTAAATCTCATGTGCGCAAATGCATTGTAAGACTCACCTGTAAGTGTCTTAAGAGCTAACTCAGACATTGTGCAGTGTGGAAGCCCTAATCTTCATCATAAATGCACAGCTTCATCTTTGGAAAGATGGCATCCCCATCCCAGCTTGACTTCAAGGAGGCTGAAGTGAAAATTCCCAGCTCTTTAGAAGAAGCAGGCGCCCTGAATTCTTCACTTATGATACTAATCACGCAGTTACCTACAGGCATGTGCTAAATATGAAACTGGTTTCAGCCAAATAATGGTCCAATTGCAAACAATGAATAAGGAGAGATAGCTCCATTCATAACCACTGTTTCAACTGAGCTCGGTAGTAATCCAAGCAATCTGAGGGTGACTCATTAATTAATTGATGTTCTTTTTTATTATGTGCTATTGAGTTAATGAGTAATTTGGGTGAGATAATTCTCTGAACACATCGATTACTTGAGATATTTTCTGAGGCTTTCACACCAATGACATGCTACATTGTTAGAAGATGTTCATATTTGTGTGCTCATTATGGGTAAGTTTAAGGTGAGTGACAACACTAAAAAAGATATAGTTAAAAGGACTGGATACATGAGATCTGTCTCCACCTGTCCACAGGCAACTAAGTACATAGAGCAAGGCCTGACATACAGTAAGCACTCAGTAAAGTCCATCTGAAATAGTGACTGTCTCAATTCTTCATTTCTTATTACTCTGAATTAAAATCACATTAAAAATGAAAACATGTATGATGGCATTTTTAAGAAGTGGTGATCAAAAGGCTTTTGCTTAAATTGTCTTCTGTGTTAATGGCCTATTACAATAAACATGCAGATTGTTTCTGCAACTCACTGAAGTGAACACTAAACATGTTTGGCCTGCATCATTTCTGTGAAATGGTTTAAGTGACGATTCGAAGAGCAGTTTGCCTAATGTGGTAGTTAGAACAAAACTGTGGATGGTAGGTTTTACTGGGGTTTCCATTGTCGCCCCTGTTTCAGTTAAGGCACCACGTGTCTTTCTTGAAAACACAGAATTCAGTTGATGTTTTTATTTTAATTCATTTTCTAGAAAATTTGAAATTTAGTCTGCTGAGAGCAACTCAGTTGTTTTCAGCAAAATCACTTAAAATGTATGTAAATGCACACAAAAAATCATAGCCAGAAATTGCTACCTTCATTTTTGACAATTTTACTTTTCCCACAAAAGTAAAATAGCGGAGAACCTCCTGCTTCAGGGGTCTTCGATATTCTCTTTGGAAGGAGGAGCTGAGGTAACTTCCTTGCGCTTGTTGGGATTCACCTTTAGAAAGGAAGTTTTTCATTTTCGCATGGACAACGCATGCTTTTTTTCAGACCATCCTTGTCTTTGCCAGTTGAGTGCAATCAAACACTCGAGTGCCCTTTTTACTGAAAACATGAACCCACGTACTTAGGAAAATGAACGAAAGGAATTACAAACGCAGGGCTACTGTTCTGCTCGGGGCGCTGGTGGTCCGGACGGCAGCGTCCTGATCCCTCATCCTGAGCAGTCTGCAGAGATACCTACTGAGAAGAGAGCTTTCTCAGCTTGTGAACTTTTGGAACTCTGTCCAGGTGTCCTACTGGAGCATCAGATACCATAAGGGCCACACAACAACTCCCATGGGAGTCCTTACCATTTCTGAGGAGTGGACAGGGGTGGGGGGTGGGGGTAGGGAGGGGGTGGGGGTGGATAGAAAGGAGGTGGAGGAGGGAATGGGATGAGAGGAGGGAGGGGAAACTGGTTGGAGTGTAAAATAAAAAAGTTTTAATAATAATAAAGAGAAGAACTGACAAAAAAAAAGTCGGGCTTTGTGTTCTCAGGATAACTAGCTTGATGCTTCTTGTCAAAACTGCTACTACTTGTCACTGTTAACTAGAAAACAGCTTAAAGCTGGAAATTTACCGCTGTCTTGGTTCACAATTTCATGGAGATGAAAGTTAATCTAAAGAGATTAAGGCCTTAATCTTTAGTCCAGCTGAGCAACTTCCCCAAGGATTAGGCGAAATCTTTGCAGACTCTGATGTGGGGAAGGCAAGGATGGTTGAAAAGCTTTCAGAAATTGAGAGAAGTTTGATCCCAGCTGACACATATTTTGACCTGCTATAGATATTATGAAAACCCATTTTAATGTGAAAAACTGAGGATCCTTTGCAAACCATACGGACAAACTTAATGCAAACTTTAAAGACTGTCAAGAGGAGCCAGCAAGGCTGTGAGGAAAATGTCTTGCTGAGCATCCCCTTCCCTGGCTGAGTGTCCCCCTTCCCTGGCTGAGTGTCCCCTTCCCTGGCTGAATGTCCCCTTCCCTGGCTGAGTGTCCCCTTCCCTGGCTGAGTGTCCCCTTCCCTGGCTGAGTGTCCCTTTCCTTTGCTGTCCCCTTCCCTGGCTGAGTGTCCCCTTCCCTGGCTGAGTGTCCCCTTCCCTGGCTGAGTGTCCCTTTCCTTTGCTGTCCCCTTCCCTGGCTGAGTGTCCCCTTCCCTGGCTGAGCGTCCCCTTCCCTGGCTGAGCGTCCCCTTCCCTGGCTGAGTGTCCCCTTCCCTGGCTGAGTGTCCCCTTCCCTGGCTGAGTGTCCCCTTCCCTTGCTGAGTGTCATCTTTCCCAATTTTGGTTTGTATGTTATAAGCTAAGCTTGTCTTATCTCCTCACAGAACAAATTTATGGGGCTGAGAGGGAAATAAGAACCACCTTGTGGATTCCAAATGGATACTTTTACAAATCTTCATCTTACCTCAAATTTGGAGCAAGTGGGACTTGCACACTCTTAACAATGAAGCATTTGGAAAGTATCATTGACTTTTCACAGAACCATTTTTTTCATGAGGCAATATTCAGATCCGCGTGCATTTCCCTAATAAACTTATGTTTCATAATGATTCAAAGATACACCAGCATTGTTTCCAGCTTAATATTTTGGCCCCAGACCAAGAATGTAGGTAGAACATTTCATCGCCATCTGTAATGCAGAAACTGGCAGGGAAAATATGTAATACGAATAACAGTGGGAGACATTTCTTGTACAAGTGCTGAAGAACAAAATAAGAAAGCCCACGGTGTGGAGTTTGCTTGAGAACAGGTTTCCAGTGCCTGTATGGAGTGGATTTGTGGGAAATCAGTTTCATCAAAGAATGCAAAACCAAAATAACAAAGTGTGAGCAGAGGAAGGAACCATATTCTTGGTTTTATTTCCTTAATTGCAATTTAAGTAATCATTTCCCACATTTTCTGTTTCTAGAACATTCTTCTTCATCAGCTATCATTTAAATAAAGGGAAAACACTTCACCGTAAAAAAAAAAAAAAAAAAAGAAATGTTAGATTTAAGTCCGTGTTACATAATCTGAGTGGGAAGATTAAAGAACATGGGGGCTGAGGAAGTGATACATGCCAAATTCAAAGTGTCCTGAACATGTAAATGGCAGGTGAAATACATAATCACTAAACAGTTCTCAACTTTTTGTGAACCCTTTGTTTCTCCTCTATAAGATTCTGTACCTGTAATGACATTGCTGTGAGCAGACCACTATCTGACTCAAATACCATCATAGTCATAACGGTATCATCCTAATTTCTCTGGATTCACACTCAAGTCCGCTCAGTGCCATCAGCTCTTAACCATAAAGACATTAAGCCCATCTCCTAGAGAGAAACCTGGACAACATTCATATAAGAAATTTAAAATTTGGAAAATTATGTCATAATTGTGGTAACGTCTTTTCATTTATAGTAACCCTTTGGAAAAACGTTTACATGCTACCCAAAGGCACTAGTTCACATTGGGGTGTGTGACTAAAAAAAGAAAAGTAGAATCAATCTGTAGTGAAGGTAAGGAACACAATAAAGGATGTTAAAAGGACATCACTAAGCATTAAAGTGATTCTAAAAATGGCACTTTGCACGTTGGAATAAAATGAAAGTGCTTTAAGATGAAATCTTTATCATTTTTTTAAAGCTGATCCTTAGTCCCCTGAAAATAGGGGGTTATCATGAGAACATGAATACACCAAACTGTGGTAGCCATAAGAAGTGGATGTCACTAACTGCTCTGCGTGTGTTTATTTATTTATTGTTGTATTTCTAACGTTGATAGTCTTGCTTTATCTGTGTGTCATCAGTGAGGTTTTCTCTTCAATTCTTACTAGAAAGGTATAGCTCATTGAAAACAGCTGGTAGACACAGAAAGCATAAATATCCAGTAAGTTTACACACTGATTGTACTAAATGCAACAATACAAAGAAGCAGACGAAACACAAATGGTAACACAATAAAACTGTATTACATTTGTGCTTCAGATATTACAATACATTATATACAATAGTCCAAAATAAACATCTCATGCCAAGTGACACAAAAACGAATAGCAAGCAAAAAAAACCCAGCAATATATACATGACTTTTCTTTCTTTAATAATGAACATTCAACTCTTGAACTGGGGCAATTTCACTACATAGAGATGCAGTCCGCCTCTGATTCCGTATGGCCATCCTGCTGTCCTACCACTACCCTATTTAGTAGGTTCCTGGGTCAATTCTTATATACATGTGAGCAAAAAAGATAAAAGAATGTAGTGCTTTGTGTTGTTAGGGGTGATGTCGATGGATCAGCGGACCTGGGGTGCATAACCTTCTTTCATTAGGCCTTCTTCATAGTCTGTCTGGCAGAGGATCATGTTATTCTTTAAGAAAAATTTGTCTCCCACACAAAATCTGAAAGTATAAAAACATAAAGTGTGTTAAGACTACTAAAATCAAAAAGACTGTCTTAGGAAGTTACTTTCATTATAAAAGTTAAAATTGTTTTATTTCAGTTATTAGCACTTGTACACAGCATTTAAACTTCACCTTCCTATATAAACATCATAGGAACAGCAAGGTAAACATTTTGGACACCAATGGTGATAGTCCTTATTTCTTCCCCTTTCTCTTTTTCTTTTCCTTACTACATTGGTAAGAAGAAAATATTAGATACATATACACCCTCATTAAGTAAATTAAATATGATATCAGTTTTTACTGTTATGATTATGAACGATTTTATACTGGTCCTTTGTCCAATCAATCAAACCATAAAAGGTACTACAGTGAACCAAAGAATTAGGAAATTAAAGTTTTCTCTTCCAGGCTCCCTTTAACTCTGTTATGAAATGTGACTAAATCTTAGTAACTTGCAAGTGCCTACTGTCCAATGAAAGGTGCCCGAGTACACTGAGGCTGAGCTGTTTTCCTCCACGGAAAATTCCCCAGCTGCAAAATAGTAGATGCCACTCACTAGAATGCTTCCCATTAAGACAGAGCAACCTGGATGAACTTCCTAATATTGATGTGAAAAATAAAACCAGCTCCCAGCAGCTAATTATGCATTTTAGTTTATGAAGCATTGTTTAAAGTGCAAGATTGTAATGTTTTTAATAAGTGTTCTTTTTATATAGTTTCCCAGTGGGTGATACTACAGACACAATTCAGGTAAAAAGTAAATGTTTGTGCTATTTCCAGTACATTTAACAATAAAGTAACTCTGGGGAGATCTGTATATATATATATTTAATTGTAACAATTTAACGATCAAACAGCAGTGTTGGGTAGAGTTGACTGAGAACAACTCTGTAATTATACAGGTCGACCTCTGTGACCTTTGGTGGTGGTCATTCTTTATCAGATAGTCAATTCAGAATGATGCTCAGGCAGAAATCTTAGTGGATGGATTAAATGGTGAAGTGAAAGCCACCCTCTAATGCTCTGTAAAGTTAAAGGTTTAAATGAGGGGCACTTGGACTGATTTACATTTGCAAAGATTGGAATTCTAGACAAACAGTGAATCTATTTATTTTCCATCCAGGCAGCTTTGGAAATTTATCCTTATACTAGCTAAGTAGATAGAGGGGAAAATAGTGTAATAAAAAAAGTAGATTGAAAAGAATTAGCTCTCCTCTTAAAGGAAAATTGGTCTGTTTATTTGTGGAATTTACTTTTTCCCCAGGATTACTGCCTACTGCTGATGTTGGTTTAAAGCAGAGACTCAGCTCTGGTCTTGAAATCCTGGATTTGTTTGCCACTGCATCTGCTGGACAAGATGCACATTTAAGTTTGGAAGTTTGAGTATATTTTTCTTTTTTGCTAGCTTTAGCCTGTATGCTTTAAATATAGAATTTAAATAGTGATGTTTAATAAATCAGTTTATGTAGCTATCATAACTATGAAGACATATTGGATAAATGGAAATATTCTTTATTTGGACAAGCCTTAGGAGCCCAAATTTGACTTTTATCTTTTATGAAAAATTATGTGAAACAGCAATAAAGACATATTTAATGAGTGTTCAAGACAATCCATTTATATTACTGTTGAAATTAATTTCAACTCCTTAATAATATAGTATAATATCATATCTGAATAAATACATTCAATAAAGCACTCCTGTCTTCTTGCTGTTATTGAGTTGTTTTCCTACAATGCAACTTATCTGAAGATATTTTTCAATGTTCTTTGTCTTTAACTTTATTATCAGGAGCTCAAATTCTATTAGTCATCATATACAGAGACGGGATTCTGTCACCCATCCTGTCCTGTGGTATCCTGTCATCCTTAGCTCAGAGTCCTTTAAGAGAGGATATTGCATTTTGTAGGTAAGTAATCAAGGTTGACACAGGGAGTTGACACCTGGAAGCAGCAGTCCTGGGGACCTGGCTTCATGTTCTGCTTCTGTCGCATACCTGGTGCAGGCATGGGTGCCTGCCACTCCTTCCCTACTTAAGCTGTCTGTAGGATGAAGACACAGTATCCAACTATAAGGAGTCACCACGGAAAGCACAGGGAAGGCAGCAAAGCAAATGCAATGGATACGGTCCATATTCCCACCTTCTCCTGGTGACAAAGACAAAGCTGCACCTTTTGATCAAGTAACGTGATCAGACTTGTTTCTCACACCCAGCCCAGTCGGCCAGTATACCCTTAGCTCCTACCAGAATGCCAAAGGCCTGCCTGGGTTTGCACAGCCTGAGGAAATGTGGTGGAGAACTGAAGACATGCCAATTATTTGTCGATCTCTGGCCTGTTCTTTCACCCAGGTCTCACAATGTGAAGAGTGAATATAAGTTTGTTTGCTTATTAGTTTTTGTTTTCTTGAAATAGAGTCTCACTCTGTTGCTTCGGCTAGCCTGCAATTCACTTTGAAGCTCACACTGGCCTCAAACTTACAGCAATCATCCTGCCTCAGCCTCCTGAATGCTGCTCTGCCAGGGATGAATCGCCACACCCAGACCCACAATCTTTGCATTATTGTATTCTCTTCTGCATTTTTCATAACCCTAACTACCATTTAATGAGATGTGTATCACACATCCCATTGACTAGTATAGAGAGAGACAGAGAGAAATGGATGAAATATCTAAAAGCGAGAGAAAATACATCAAAATAGTTAAATATTCCTTTCTGAAAGGTTTCATAATTAACATCATAACAACTGGGTAAAGTATATTTTATGTACATTTCAATCTATACGTAAAAGTAAAGATGATATAGAACATGGGTTAAAAGTATCACAGTCACAACTAACCTACAAAACAGTGTGAACAGTGTTGGCAGCTGTGGTTAGGAGCAGACCATGGCTGTTCAGTCGAGATCATTATTGTCCCTAAAAATGTCCCACATAGGGGCTGGGGAGGTGGTAAGGTGATTGCCACACAAGGATAAAGAGTTCAATCCCCAGCACACAGATAAACAGCCTGGCATGCCAGTGTTTGCTTATATCCCTAGAACTAGGGAGGCTGAGACAGGAGGATCCCCGGAGCTCGCTGATCAGTTGTTCCAACTGAACTGAAGAGCTTGAGGTCCAGTGAGAGACTGTCTAAAACAATAAAGTGGAGAGAATACCACTACAGAAGACGCCTACTGTCAGCCTCTAGCCTCTACATACACACTCACCTGTGCACACTCCACACTCACCCACCACACACAAGTGTTTGGGAGCACCTGTGCACACGTGTATGTACCCACACTCAACATGTACATAGACTCAAATACGTAGACATGAAGAAATTATATAAATAACAGTGCAGGAGTTAAACGTGCAACAAAATACATGGTAACTTTAATTTTGTAAGGAAAAGCTAATTTCCAACACCATATAACCTGCTTCTTTTGAGATTTTACATTTGTAGAGAAAACCTTTTGAACATGGTGTTGGCTAAAGAATGTTCTAAGTGTATTAACAGGCTAGGCTAAACCTTGTGAAATCTTACTCATCATCTTATTGTAATGCAGTCTTAAATGCTTGTGGGGTATGGTCAACTCTATTAGTTTTATCCTCATTCAAAAATTACTAAAGAAGGAAAAAGGATGCCAATTAGGTTATTAACTAATCTAAAATTCAAATGCTGAAATTAAGAATGCAATTAATTTCCAGCTGAGGATGAGTCTAGCTGACTTCATAGAGTTTTTGAGTCCAGAGAAGCATAAGAATGAAGTGTAATTAATAAACTTCTGCTCTAAAATGGGGAGCATAGAGCACTTTCCCCTTTTATATTTTTTATTGGCTCTTTGAAAATTCAACAGAATGTATTTTAAACATTTTCACCCCTCTTGGTGTTCCCTTACCTCCCTCTCAAACCTCCCACCCCTTCCAGATACAGCAGGTTATCAAAGCCTGTTCTAAGATGCCTCCATTTGTAATATGAATTTGAAGAAGTGAGAGTGTTAACTTAGTTGTCTTATTTCCCTGAGGTAAATGGCATCCAATTATAACTAATTTCTGTCTTTATAATGTTTAAAAGGAAGAGGAAGTCTGGTCTGTATTCCCAACATATCTACTTTCTCACTTCACATTCATAGATAGCCACTAAAAGATGGAGTGCTTCATGCTGCAGTACTCAACAAGAGGCATTTGCCAATCCCTACAGTCATGAACAAATTTCCTGTCTTTTCCCCATTGACAGCCCAATTATCATTGCATATCTCACTCCTTAACAATCCTTTAAGCACCAAGGAACACTGTCCATATCATGAGTCCTGCTGTAAATTATTCAAAGTCAACTTTACCTTAGCCCTGCAGGATCTATTTATACTTCCATATTCTTAGTCAGAAAACACAATACTCTTCTGAAATTGGTCCACTCCCGAGAGTAAAACCCTAACTTGCTTGGCTAAAATCTTGAGATGACCATTTACTATCTCGGGCAGAGAGTACTTAAACTTTTTGCACATCTTCTGTGTCTGTATAATATTACTTGTGTGTATGCTTTTAGGGCTGATCATTTGTTGATGGATAACCAACAAACTGATGATGTGCTCTTCCCAGTGGAGGGCTGTGTTTCTTGCTCTAATCATTCCTTGTTTCTTATAGTTCTTGGCATCTGATTGAGGTCTCCTGTACTTTCCCAACTCAATGTTAGCACAACAATTGTTCAGCTCATGTTTACATAGATATAAACATGTATGTGTAATTACGTGTAACTTTTTCAGTCTGTAATTATGTATAATACATATAATATATGATATTAATATATGTATTTAATTATATATGTGTATCAACAATTAATGAAAAGAGGACATGGATTTGAAAAAAGCAATGAGGAATATATGGAAGGGTTTGGAGGAAGGAAAAGGAAGGGGAGAATGATGTAATTAAAATCTCAGAAATATAAAAGAAATAATAGAAAAATTTTTCTGCACTCGAATTTTTTTCCTACCTTAGAGACTAAAAGCATCAGCTA